CATTGTTAATATATATCTGAATCTTTCAAATGTTAGTAGACTAGACATTGTTAATGTAATTCTTGACTGTATATATTGTATATACTTATTGGATAGTTTTTCTTGTATTAATTATAAGCTTTTTTTAAATTTTAGACCAAAAAGGGGAAATGTGGTTGTATTGTGTTCCCCAAAATATTGTGCACCTTAATAAATTTATCTGGGGTCAGATAACAGAACAGCCACTAGATACAGAGGCTAGAAAATGGTGGCACTCACGCCTTTAATCCTAGCATTCCAGAGGTAGAAATCTATCTGGGATCTCTGTGAGTTCAAAGCCACATTGGAAACAGCCAGGCATGGTGACACATGCCTTTAATCCCAGAAATCAAGCCTTTAATCCCAGGGAGTGAGGCCGGAAAGCAGAAAGGTATATAAGGCCTGAAAACCAGGAACTAGGCTGGTTAAGTATTCAGGCTTTCGAGAAGCAGTTCAGCTGAGATTCATTTGGATAAGGACTCAGAGGCTTCCAATCTGAGGAAACAGGATCAGCTGAGGAACTGGCGAGGTGAGGTAGCTGTGGCTTGTTCTGCTTCTCTGATCTTCCAGCATTCACCCCAATAACTGGCCTCAGGTTTGATTTTATTAATAAGACCATTTAAGATTCATGCTACATTTTCCTCTCAGGATTAGACTGGTTTAAGGATCTGGGAGAATAATGTTGAGCCATAGTACCACTCAGCTCACATCTACCTGGTGTTCATGCTATGCATTGACTTGGAACTGTCGATGTCAACATGGACTGCCTCCCCCAGGGCATGTGTATCACATTCTCTGCTGTTAACTTTTAACCTCCCCCCAACCTTCTGCTTGCACATTGCTCCTGTTGAAATGAATATGTACTTCTGAGCATCCTACACTTCACGATTGGAAAGACACACTCCAATCCTGGGAAGGAATGCAGCAAGGTGAACTACTTGGAATTCTTCTTCATGAGGGATTTGTATCTCCTCTCCAGTATAATCATTAACCATGAGCTTATTTCAATCAACATGGGCTTAAGAAATTTTCTGTCTTGGTTGTATTTATTATATTGCTCAAATTGTTCCAAATTTGGACATGTGGTCCTTTTTTATTATGTCTTTTTATATTTTTAAAATTTTTTTCTCAGTCTTTTATTTCTTTGGGGCAAGAGGCTAATGAAAGATGCTATTGAGGGCCTTGGGCATTCTAGGCAAGTTCTGTGTCACTGGGCTACATCTCATCCTCTTATCTTTTTCCTGTTTTCTGACACACTTAGATTCTTCAGGCTCATTTTGTTTGTCACCTAATTCAGCCCTAGTGTCAGTAATTTCTCCAAATCATTGACATATGTGTATCTTCAAACATGCACTACCACTGTCATAAAAACGAGCTCAATGGCCCACCAACGACTGGGCTTCATCTGTTCAGTCTTCTCATCCCCACCAAACCTGTGCCAACCACTGACACGCTTCTTGTCTCCTCTGTGTTTCTCTTTCTAGAATATCACACAGATGTATTCAGAAGACACAGACTGGCTTCTTCCCTTTATTAAAATGCATACATTGTCCACTCATTAATATTTATTATTGGTTCACTTTATCTATTTTTATTACACGTGTGAACTTTATTCATTGGACTGTTGAGGGTGATCTTGGCTATTTTTCAGTGAAGCCACAATGGAGGTGTATATGCTGATTTCCATGGCATACGGTGATTGGGTAAAGTGCTTATATAGATGTAATTTAGGGTAGAACTGTGCCTCTCTTCATAAGAAAATGCCAAATTTTCTTAAAATGTAGCTTTGCCAGTATGAATTCTTATCTGCAAAGAATGAGTTGTGTTTGTCCTTCAAACTTGCCAGGAATTAGTGTTATCAGGAGTTTCTTGGGGCAGAGGACTCAGGGAGATTGGATACCCAATTACTATATGACATAGTTATTGTAATTTTTGTTTCTCAAAGTAAAGGAGATTATCTTCTATTATATACATAATTACAATTCATTTTCTTTGGGATGTCATCTATTCCAATCTTCTACTCAGGTATAATTGTGTTATTTTATTTTAGTAAGTTTAAAAAAATCTTTGTGTATTTTATATGCTAGTCATTTATTAGATTTGTTTTGCAAATACTTTCTTCCAGACTGTGGCTTTAATTTTTTTTCCTGAAAATGCAATTCACAGAGTATTGACTTTTAGTTTTAGTTTATTACATTTCTCTCTGTGTGTGTGTGTGTGTGTGTGTGTGTGTGTGTGTGTGTAACAATAAACAGATTATAATCAAGAAAGGAAAGAGTGCTTAAGCTCATGTTGATCTAAGTAAGATTTTGGTTGATGATTATATTAAAGATAAAACTCTCAAGCAGATGAATTCTACATAGTTCACATTACTGCATTGCTTCCAAGGGCTGTAGTATGTCTCTCCAGTCATGAGGTGCAGAATGCTCAGATGTATGACTTCAAGTAGAGCAGTGTGGATGCAGAAAGTGTATGTGGTTAAAATAATAGCAGAGAAATGTGATACACATGCTCTGGAGTAGGCAGTCCATTGTGACACTGACATTTCTAAGTCAATGAATAACATGAACTCTGGGTAGGATGTGAGCAGAGTGGTACTATGGCTTGACAGTATTCTCCCAGTTCCCTAGATCCCTAAACCAGTCTAACCCTGGGAGAAAAGATTGGACAGCATCCCCAGAAAAGAGCATCAAATGCCAGACCCCTTCAATGCATACGTAGTGGACAGGGAACAAATTTCAGGTTTAGGTTCCATTCTTCTACTGTGTGAGTTCATAGGATTGAACTCAGGTAGCTAGACTTGGCAACAAGCATCTTTACCAATAGAGACATCTTTTGAAACTTTGAAGTTTCATTTTAATGAAGTCTAACACATTTTTAAAAGTTGTTAATATTGGTGTTATATTTAAATTTTCACCCCAAACCAAATTAACATGATTTTATCCTGTGTGTCTGTTCACATGTCTTGTAGCTTTTTTGTATATTGTTGGTCAATTTGTAGTTAATTTTCATATAAGAAGTGAGTCTTTGCTTGTTTTGAACATAGACATTTAATCAATGCAGTATCTGTCACTCATTGAAAACACTGTCTTGTCTGTTCTGAATTGCTTTTGCATAATGTTAAACATTAGTTAAATGCTCTTGTGTATCAAATATCTCAGTTTTCTATTTTGTCACACTTATTTCATACGTATTTGTTAAAGAACTCCATGCTGTTTAGATTCTATCAACTCTTGAGTAAACTTTGAAATCATTAGTGTTGTCAGTCCTCAGCCTTTGGTAGTAATATATCACTTTCTCAGATCCTTGCTGTATGCATGAAATCCATGACCATGTTGCCTACAGCTACAAAACAACTTGCCATATTTTAATGGCATCGCATTGAACATATGTATCAGTTTGGGAAAATGGATATCTTAATATTATCAAGTCTTCTATGCACAAGAATGTTATCTTTCCACTTATTTATAACTTTGATATCTTTCATCATTGCCTCACAGTTTTTGTATATAAGCATTGCATTTCTATTCTGTTAGATTTATATCAAAGTATTTCATTTAATCATAAATAGTAAGTTTTATTTAACTTAGGCTCCAAATATCTGTCTCCTGCATGCAGGATGCTATAGACTTTTACTGACTTTGTATCCTGTAGCCTTGCTACAAGAACTGATGACTCAGCCAAGCAGTTCACAGCTGTGTCTGCAGAATGAAATGATCCAGGCTCAACCTGCAAACTCTGTTTTCTGAGGTATCCATTGGTTTTCATTCTGTCCAGCTTTTTCTTGTTGTGTGGAAAGTGGTAGGAAGTCTTAGCTTTTATATACCAGGGAATGCAGCTGGAAGCCCTCACATTGTCACTTGCAATGTCTTATTCTTGTGTTTTCCTAGCCATGAGTGTCTTAGCAGTGTTATCCTTGAATTACCTCTATGTACTGTTCCATCCACAGAGAAGTATAGTTAACAAACATATGTCACTATTATACAATAATTGCAGTTATAAAGAAAATTATATACACATGCATACAGATTCAACAAGACTGATGTCAACAATTCAATTTTTCCTTTAAATGATTTTATGCATTTTCTCATTTAGCTTTTATTTATTTTATTTTCCATTTTACAAGGAACTTAACTAAGAGAATTTTTGACACCAGAAAAGTACTTTCTGGCACTCTCTGAATTATTCCTGCTCTTTGATTGGAAACACAGCACATCAGGGGGTGGACAGAAGATTCATTTGAGAAAAAAAGAAGTCAGTTGCTGTCCACATTGAGCTGAGGAAACTCATGCATGCACATATACACACTAAAGCAATTAGCACTTTTGAGGAGCTCAAATAAGGAGGAAAAAGCACAGCACAGAAAAGAATTTTCAATGGGAGCCATTACCATTGCATTGATGGACTTCTTCCATCCATTCTAAAATGTCCAAGGTTGTGAGGAAATGGTGCAGGTTCCCACAATTCATGACTGACACATGTTATTTCAAAGGGAATTTGTTCTTTGTCACATGTACTATGAGATGCTAAGAATATTTCTAAGATTGAGGCCTGTAATGACTCTTTCTCTGTCCTGTCATCTGGCTTCCAAATAACAACATGGAGACTTTTTTTTATTAATTATGAAAGCAGCCTCCCTAGCTCAGTCACTAGAGCATGAGATTCTTAATTTCAGGGTTGTGGGTTCAAGCACATACATAGAACATCATGTATAATGAGTCTTTCTCTGTCCCATCAGCCAGTTCCCCCAAAAATGACAGACTTCTTATTAATTATGAAAGCTTGGCCTTAGCTTAGGCTTGTTTCTAATTAGCTCTTATAACTTAAATTAACCCATATCTATTAATCTACTGCTGTCATGTGGCTTATGGTTTTATCTCTCCTTCTGCATGTCCTGCTTCCTCTGTGTCTAGCTGGTGACTCACCTTTCTTTCTTCCCAGAGCTCTCCTTCCCCAGAAGTCCTACCTATACTTCTGCCTAGTTATTGGTCATTTAGCTTTTTATTAAATCAATCACAGTGATATATCTTTACACAGTGTAATAAAATATCTTACAAAAGGGGCCCAGGGGTACAGCTGCACAATCTGTAAGTGATGCACTGCCCTTGCCAGGAGATCTCACTAAAGTGGACTTTCCAGTCATCATGATGTTTTTGCTTCCATTTCTGGACTTTAGACAGATGAAACATGGGAGTCTTGATTTTTTGTATGCCAGCACCATCTAAGTTAGTCATTCAGCAGCCACAGTGAAAAGAGTATTATGCCAGCCACAATGTTGATGTGTATCTGATAGATCTCTATTAGCTGATGGCCACTTTGACCAATTCGAGCCACTTTACTTGTAGACCTGATAAGAAAACATATAGAGAAAGCAAATATTATAAAATGTAAACATTGCATAGCAATTGTGTGGCTCTAGTTACCTATTTTAGATTGATCACACTATTCTAATTAGTAATCCTGTTATAGACAGCCTTTCTTTTTTATATACTATATAAATAAACTATATCCTAAGATGCTGCATTGATCTATTTTATGAATATTTCATGAATACTTTTGTACATGATAATTTTTCTTTCCTTCCTCTATTAGCCATTAAATGTTCTGCTGTCCTTGGGACCCATGCTCTAAAGTTATGATAAGAGAACGTTTACAAAGCAGAACACATCATATTATCAACAAGGAAGTTTACAAAATTAACTTACACAGTAATTACTCACATTTTTAGCAAAATAATGGTCAGGCTTACAGTTTGCCAAGAAGAATGCATTAATGATACAGGGAAAAGATTCCTTTCCATTAAGGGATCTGCTAGTTTTTTTCTGTTAGTAGTTGTATGTTTTATCTCTTGCTATATAACAAGTTGCCCCCAAACTTAGAAGTTAAAAACAACAAAAAGTATTTTCATCTATTTAAAATTATGAGTCAGACTTGGAATTGTGTTTGCTAAGTATATCTGGTTTTAGGTTACAGTCAGGATGTCCCCTGAAGAGGTAGCTGGTGTTGGAACATCTTCATCAAGATATGTTTGTGTGATATTAGCAGCAAGCTCATTCCTCACATCTAGGCGACTGGCTTTCTCTATAATGAGTGGCCCAAGACATAGAGGGCACACAAAAATCTACGGTGCTTTCATGATCTGGTGCTGAAGTCACAGGTCTGTGTTACAACACACCATATTATCTAGAACAAGTCATTAGTGTTTGATTACACTCTAGGGCGGGAGAGTGACTTCAACATCTAAATGGAAAATAATAATGTCTAGGGCTAATTTCATACCACTATATCATGGCAGTAGCTGTGTGACTTTGAGTTGTTTAATCTGATAATCAGTTCCTTCTACAAGTTAAGGCAACACATTCTACCTTAACAATTCTTGAGGTTTTTTCAATGGAAGCTGGATGATTGTCCAAGTACATTCCTTTAGAGAAGGCAGCAGAAAACTCTTCAACTGCCAAGTGTGTGACATTCAGAGATTCAGCTGTAAACACAGAGAACAATAATTTCCAATGAAAAGGTTTAATTCCCAAAGAATGGTAGTGAATTACTGTTTCCAGTGACCTGATCCAATGCATAGAGAATTTATTTGTGTTTTATTCTTTGTCTTTTTTACATTGTCCCCATATGTCAGGAAGCTGGGGACAGGAAGCTAGTTCTCAGACAAGGCATCCCCTGCAGATTTGTGAGCTGACAGGCGCTGAGGCTCTTGGCTCTGCAGAGCCCTCCTCCTCATTTTCTTTCCTGCCCTGCTGTCTCCACTTGCAGTATGGAGCCACACCCCAGGCAGACAGGAGGCAAAGGACACAAAGTGTCTGCTGACTGTGCTCTGTTTTGCACAAAATCTTCTTATTTTAATATAATTTTAGACTTCTGGAGAAGTTATAAAAGTAATAATGACTTCCCATAAACTCTACTCTTCATTTAGAGTCATTTAATGTTAACATCTTCTGTAACTCCAATATATTCATTGAAATCAGAAAAATAAGCACTGAGGTTAATTCATTAACTACCTGCTCCATTAATATAACTAAACCTTAGAGCTAATATCAATAATTATTTTAATAATACCTTTATTTAATAATATAGTACAACTAAAAAACCCTAATGCTATACCATAGTTACAATGTACTGTCATGTAAGATATCGATACTATTACCACTGATGTCTGTCTGTCTGTTTGTTTGTTTTTGTTAGTCATACTAACTCATGTGTACTTGAACTTTTCATTTTCCCATATATTTCTCCTTCTTTTTTTCCTGGCTGCAGGATCAATTGTCTGCCAGTCACTTACTCTTTCCTTACCTCTTGTGACTCAGAAATATTTGAAAACTTCTAGTGTGTTTATGTGTAGAACATGCCTCCAAGTGGGTTTGCCTATGGTTAGATTTACATCATGCAATATTGCCCAAATGCTACTAAGGTGACACCATGAATTTCTCATTACATGATATCATGGATCCAGGAGAAAAAAGAAAGATTATTTGGCTTTGACAGTTTGGGCCATGTGTATTTCCATTTAAAGTGAGAACTTTTTCATTGTGCAGTTACCAAGTATCTTTTGTCTATTGGTTACTCTGATTTACACTGTACATTTGTCCACCAATTTTTGTACCAATAGCTGCCCTTATTTACCATGACTGCTTCTACAGTGTTCATTTAAGTTGATGGGTTTATAGGAAACAATGAAATAATCACAAAGATACATTCATGGCTAATTATTGAAAGGTGACTGTATGGTCAAAATATTTTTAAGGTGGATAGAGTAATTTGGTTTGATCTATGAGAACAAAGAACATATGAGCCATTTAGATGTCTGGTCATAAAGGTGGCATTCTTGATTATGGCATTCTTTGATTGCAAAGTCAGATGAATGCATTTACAGCAGGAAAAATCTAGATATATGGGCAGAATTCAAAAAGTAGAGCAAGGCACTGTACAGATTTCTCTTTGTAGGTACAGAACATCTTGCTATGAAATGAGAGAATTGCCATAGACAGTTTTAAAACCACAAAGAGGTAAGCGAACATTTACCACTGCTTTACCACCTGAACACGCTGAAACTTATTCTTATGAAGAAAAACTGTGACTGGATTTTCCTTGATACTCTCACATTCTTTAAAAACTCGGGTTAAGAGTGCTTCCGTTGTTTACTAGAAGATGTATTTAGATAGAGGAAGTGGTGTGCAAATTGACACCACGTGGCAGGTGTCCAACAAAGTCAGCCATCACTTCAGGGACCCCAAGATGACTTTGTGCACTGGAGAGCTGCATAGTTTGCCAGCATTTGAAGGAAATAACTAAGCGGCATCAACAAAGAGTATTTAAACAAACCAATCTGGATGTCAAAAGGTTATGCACAGTGGAGGGCTGGTGGCATTAATTCTACATGGATTAACACCAGTCATTTCCTAAAATAGACAAGACTTGCAACCAGGGCTGAGCCTAGAGACCTTTATTGTCTAACTCCAGATCAGACATTTAGCTTTTCTTTTTGAACTAAAGTAAAATGCTTTCCATTCATGGTACTAGCGAGGCTGAATCAATAGAGGGTGCGTCACTCACAGAACCATGTTCTGCCCTTAGACCTCAGAAGCAAGGTCTGTGGACCTCCACCTATACTGCAGGTGAGGGTGCAGCATTCACCCTAAGCCTGCTGTGAACAGTGCTCCTGACACCCACCAATAGGTCAGAGTACTTTCTGAAGCCTAAGGACTTTGGCCACAACCAGCCTTTGTCCTCTTCTACACGAGTTTCCCGGGTTTCCTTCATGAAATCAGGGTCTTGCTAACAAGAGATGTTATCTTTCCTGGCTTCTTGTAGTCAGAAGACACAACAAGGTGATGATCTGTATCTAGGGACTAAGGATGTCACCTGTTATACATACCCATCTATAGAGCTCTCCACAAGGTGTGGCAAGGTCCAGGCAGGAAAAACAAAGAATTGGATGCAGCTGTATGCTTAACTTACCTACTCCACTGAATTTGAGATGGAATACTGAGAAAGCCATCAAGCTTAAACTACATTTTACTAAGAAGGAAATACACAACTCAGTCATATTAATTATTCTTATAATATTGTACACACATCATCTCAATCTATTTCTATAACTGTTTAATCATTCCAAATAAAATCTCTACTCCTATAAAACAGTGCCTCCACATTCTTCCATACCACAGCTCTTGGCAGGAATCATTCTATTTTATGTCCTTGTGAATGTGTCTCTTCTATAACAGATACCTCATATAAATGGCATTAAGCAGCATTTTTCCTTTGGTATCTGGTTTATTTCATGGAGTATGTTCATTTTTAAAGTTCATCAGTGTTGTAGCATATATTATAACTTCATTTATTTTTACACTTGGAAACATTCCTTCTGACATGCATTCTGCTCCTCTGTTTATTGACTGTTGGACACTTGGGCTGCCTCCACATTTTAGCTATTGTGAATGATGTTGCCAGAAATACTGGCACTCTCTACTTGACTTTGTTTCAATAGGGCATGCACTTAGGATTTGAATTGATGGCTCATGTGGAAACTGTATGTTTTCCTTTTCGAGGATCTGCCAAGCTGTTGTTCCTTGGTTTTAGCTAATATTTGCATGTGTGATTTGTAGGCTTCCTTTGTAGCCACGGGGCTTGGCCATATTAAGGGTTGGGCTGGACAGCAACTTTAAAGGTCTCTAGATATAGAATGGATGTCTTCCTTACAAATGTTATCACTTTCTTTTTTATAGCTTTCCATATTTTATCAATGAGAAATATGTGTACAATTTTGGAAACTTTTGTGCTGTCCAAAATTGAGAGAGAGAGAGAGAGAGAGAGAGAGAGAGAGAGAGAGAGAGAGAGAGAGAGAGAGAGAGAGAGACTTAAAGTCAAGGTGTTTTATGATTTAAAAAAAAGCCTGGTTGAGATTAGGTAGCTGGTAGTCGTCTGCATTGCATTAAAGTTACTTATATAAAAATTAAGTCTTTAAAACTTTCAAAGTTAATATATCAATTTTATTGCTTTTTAACATACTCTTTTGACATCAAAGAACTCAGTTCCTCTCCAAGACTTTATAGAATTATTTGTCCTAAATAATATATCTTAAATGAAACTTTTAAAACTATGAATCTGAAGAAGAAAAGCAGAAATTAAAGGAGAGAAGAGCCTCACAAGCAGCAAGACCCAGTTCCCACTGTTTAGGTACAGCCTGAACTTTCAAATCCTTTGAAGCACACACAATATTCTGATCCCTAACAACCCATATTCTTGAAACTTTAAGCAGGAATCTAGCATGGGTGAAGTGCTGTTGTGTTTGAGTTTGAGAACAGAGAAAGCTCTAACAGCCTGGAGGGAAAACTTTAATCAGAATGTCTCTTCATCCTGGCTTCTGACCTTTCCCAATATTCAATTGTTTTTTTTTTTTTTTTCACACAGATCTTAAAAGAGCCTGTGGCTATAAGGATGGAGAGCTTCAGTATTGCTTAGTGTGGTTTATGTCAAGATTCTGCCCTTGTCAAAGTAGCTGAGTGTGCTGGTGACAGCCAGAAAGGTATGAAGGCTCAAAAGTAGTTTCAGCTTTTGTTAAATTTTTGGTCCTTCAAACCAAATGGAAGCACTTCCCATCACTGCTGCTGTGAAAAATGTAATTAATTAAATTAAAATAAGAATTTCTCTAGCTAGTTTCCATTTTTGGTTTCGAATGCCTTGCATTTTGCACTCCCTGTGTTAATCTTTTTGCTCTAGGAAACTCTGTCTCCACAATTGAAAATTAAAACAACCTTATTTCCCTAGTTTAAAATCTTGTGTTTACAGTCTTCAAATAGCTCCCAGATCTATCCTATCAATATACTGGATCTCTTATGTCAACCCTGTAGATAAAGGATCAAGGACTAGAAGATACTAAGTGACTTTCTCCTAATCACATCAGAAATGTTAAAGAGGGTCATTTCCATTCATAGATTCTTATGTGCTTTCTTAAGAAACATTAGAACCTTCTTGTATGGACACCACATACGGAAGATCCATGGAACTTGGATTTCTGAGTGTCTGACAGAGTTCATATTAAGTTTGGGGAACTTTTGAAAGGTTTAAATTCAACAAGTAAGTTTATTTTATTACATAATAGTCTTAATGAAGTTAAAATCTATGAGGCTCCCACTAAGGAAGCTTTGAGAACAGAGGAAGTACCAGCTTGTTGTGTTTTCAAGGTTGTCAGTGTCTTGTTGGCATTGTTCACCATTCTCATTGTGGGTCTACAAAATACTCAGAAGTCACAGTTAAAGGAGTAAGAGTCTCATGTGTCTGAAAATGCTACATAACATTTCCCCGATCTTTAATGGATTGCAGGATGTTTCCTACTGTACCCTTGTTAAGGAACTGTGGTGCCTTACACATTTTGAAGAGTGGTCTCAGGTCAGTGTTACACTCAGAAAAAACTCATCTCAGTACCACTGCTAGTTCATTGCCAGCCTTCACCAACATTCAGTGGCAGTTTGA